TAAATGGCTCCAAAAAGTTCTGTTAAAGAAAAATTATCTCAGTTACAGTAATTTACTTAAAATTTTGTACAGTTGTGCTAATAACATATTTTGTTGTGAAGCAGTAAGGGTCTTCATCTAAAGTGGTAAAGGGATAAATTGCCCAAATTTATCAGTTTATACGCATTCTTTCATGAACGCACCTTGGTAAATATTTATATAAAATTGTTTATTATTTAACTTATATGGTTAGTTACGTTTTTATTCTTACCTCGTCCATTGTGTCCATTTTCTGTTTATGTGTTCGTAGCTGGTAACCTGTCAGGGTTGAATTTTGCTGAAATTTATACATTTATCCACCAAAATCGTTTGATAAATTGATAAACTTTCGTTAAATAGATTTTCATAAGAAGCTTGACAGATCATTTATCAAAATGATAAACTTATCATTTTATCAAGTTTGTCAACAGTTTATCACTTTTGATGAAGACCCCTAATATCTGAGAAATCCTGTGCAAAGCGATGTATCGATGTATGCCCTTCGATGCATCGAAAAATATCGATGTACATTTCGATGCATCGAAACAAAGAATGATAGAATACAAGATTGCGCATACTGCGGGTGATGACGTCACGTTCGCTACGAATAGTGGAGATGGAGGAGACAAAAATAGCGGTGGCCGCCATTTGTAAACAAATCGTAATTCTGTTCATCTACTGTTTGAACAGAAAATTGAATATCGAAGAAAAATTTAATATTACACCCTGAAATAGCAAAATAAAGAAGAATAATGAAACACTAAGCTAGTAGAAATTAGTAACGCGTGTTCTTAGCAAATTGTTTCTGCATTTTTTTTATAGTAAAAAATGTTCATTAGCAAAAACTAGTAATAATTACTAGTAACTATTCGTAGGAGAACAAACTTATCGCGGACATTTCTATGCTGACGTCACACGACCTAAATGCAACTAAATGCAACTCCATTTTTGCAGAATCTAAATGCTAAAAGCAACCGTGTGATTTGCCGAGATTTCCACGACGCGAACATGGTTGAAAGTGAAAAACCGGCAACATTGCGTTTTCGAGTATACAGTGGATAGCTGCGTTTCAGTGATCGCCGATCGATATTTCATTTATTATTTTTACATTATTTGGGTAAAGAAAAGTTAAGCAAATTCAACATCGATGTGAAGTTGATAGAAATCTGCATCAATTTGTGATGAACTCTGTGTGTTTTGTTTCCTATTTAAGTGAGGAAATTTTAATTGACAGCACCGACAAATGAGTACATACACAAACNGAATTGATCGTAATAGATATGCATCTGAATAAGCGCCTGGAACACGGCTGTTTGTCAAAAGTATATGATTTCGAACTCGCGTAAATGTACATTTGCTAAATGCGATAGCATGAACGCTCTTCGAAAACATATGTTCGAAAGTGCTAAATGTTTAATTTTAAATGCAGCAAAAACGCTGCATTATGCATGCTAAAATGTTAATCTACAATGGAATTAAAATGGAAAATGTTCTTCAGAAGCTAGTTAGTTACATTGTTTTCTTGAAGGCGACATGTTGATAATGAAATTGCTTCCCAAATTGAATGCAGCCCACGCAATGGCTTTTAATTTTGATGATTTTTGACAAGCAATGTGTGCGAGGAAATTGAAAAGCANTTGAATTTTGCTGAAATTTATACATTTATCCACCAAAATCGTTTGATAAATTGATAAACTTTCGTTAAATAGATTTTCATAAGAAGCTTGACAGATCATTTATCAAAATGATAAACTTATCATTTTATCAAGTTTGTCAACAGTTTATCACTTTTGATGAAGACCCCTAATATCTGAGAAATCCTGTGCAAAGCGATGTATCGATGTATGCCCTTCGATGCATCGAAAAATATCGATGTACATTTCGATGCATCGAAACAAAGAATGATAGAATACAAGATTGCGCATACTGCGGGTGATGACGTCACGTTCGCTACGAATAGTGGAGATGGAGGAGACAAAAATAGCGGTGGCCGCCATTTGTAAACAAATCGTAATTCTGTTCATCTACTGTTTGAACAGAAAATTGAATATCGAAGAAAAATTTAATATTACACCCTGAAATAGCAAAATAAAGAAGAATAATGAAACACTAAGCTAGTAGAAATTAGTAACGCGTGTTCTTAGCAAATTGTTTCTGCATTTTTTTTATAGTAAAAAATGTTCATTAGCAAAAACTAGTAATAATTACTAGTAACTATTCGTAGGAGAACAAACTTATCGCGGACATTTCTATGCTGACGTCACACGACCTAAATGCAACTAAATGCAACTCCATTTTTGCAGAATCTAAATGCTAAAAGCAACCGTGTGATTTGCCGAGATTTCCACGACGCGAACATGGTTGAAAGTGAAAAACCGGCAACATTGCGTTTTCGAGTATACAGTGGATAGCTGCGTTTCAGTGATCGCCGATCGATATTTCATTTATTATTTTTACATTATTTGGGTAAAGAAAAGTTAAGCAAATTCAACATCGATGTGAAGTTGATAGAAATCTGCATCAATTTGTGATGAACTCTGTGTGTTTTGTTTCCTATTTAAGTGAGGAAATTTTAATTGACAGCACCGACAAATGAATATATACACAAACAAATGTTCGGTTATGGTTAAAACAATTCAAGTTTTTCTGTTGAATTTTTGGTTTAAAATTTATTTTTCCTTTTTATTAGGGTTTCTGCACATTATCTTCTGCGTGAGAATTGATCGTAATAGATATGCATCTGAATAAGCGCCTGGAACACGGCTGTTTGTCAAAAGTATATGATTTCGAACTCGCGTAAATGTACATTTGCTAAATGCGATAGCATGAACGCTCTTCGAAAACATATGTTCGAAAGTGCTAAATGTTTAATTTTAAATGCAGCAAAAACGCTGCATTATGCATGCTAAAATGTTAATCTACAATGGAATTAAAATGGAAAATGTTCTTCAGAAGCTAGTTAGTTACATTGTTTTCTTGAAGGCGACATGTTGATAATGAAATTGCTTCCCAAATTGAATGCAGCCCACGCAATGGCTTTTAATTTTGATGATTTTTGACAAGCAATGTGTGCGAGGAAATTGAAAAGCAAAACTGATTGTGTGTCGTCGTGTGTTAAGGCAGTACGCAGTTCTTAAGAAATTTGCCACACTTTCTAGTACAGCTTACTAAACTTTTTTTATGAATAAAGAGCAGAAGGCAACCAATATTTGAAACAGAAATATATGCCCGTTCCATTATTTCTTGAGGAAAGAGTGAGGCAACAGGATGTGAAGTATCAGATGTCAAAACTCCTTGGACACATACACAAAATAAAGGCAATTTTTTTCATGTCAGTTTTCTTGAGAGCTGTCTACTGGCCTTTAGTTGTAAAGGGCAAGGAAAAAGCCCTTATTCTTGATAATATGAAGGCTTTAAAAGTTTCATATTTAAATTGGGCGTCACGTGTATCAACTCACGTCGAGCGCACGTTTAATACATTGAAGGCGTTTCTCCGCGAAAATCTAATGAAAATGCTGCCAGAAAACATCATAATGCATCTCGTGGTTCAATGTTACTACAACTATAGAGATTAAAGTTTTCTGAGTTAAAAACCTGAAAGACGAAAATAATCAAAGTTTCAAAGTATTAATTTTTCATATAATGAAACTAGTTCATAGTTTTTCTCTTTTTACTTGTAAAATAAGCATTTCTAAAATAAATATATTTTTTTTTCTTGCTTTTGCCTCTTGCGATTTCTAGTGCCCTTTGCTGCCTATTTCACTATTTTATTTTGCCTTTTATAGCCTATTTCGTTCTTTTATTTTACCTTTTTTATAGGTTTATATTTCCTAAAAATGCCTTCCCTGTTTATTAGCAAAAAGCAAAAATACGTGTACCTACATTCATACATATGTTTGTATGTATCCAAGAAGCACCAAACAAATATTTCTCCAACCTTGGAGAAATTCATAGTTCTCCAGTTGATATCCAACATCATTTTCCAACTCATCTCTAACCGACGCGCAGATACGTCAAAAGTAATAGAGAAACGAATTTTTAATTATCAAGTGAAAAATTAAAGCTATATAAGAAGGAAAATTATCAACAAAGAGTAAATAATCTTCAAAGTAACTTCAAATTACCTTCAAAGAAAACAAACGCGACGTGAATCAAATGGCAGAATTACTGTCGGACTGTGTATTGTGAAGTGAATTATTACAATACGCTATTGATTAACTACATATTACAAAAGGTGTAATAAAATAAATAGAAATCTATGTATGTCGTTTCAATCAAAAGGTATGCTATTTTTCTATTTCAATCTCAGTATTTCAATGATATGTTTGAGACCAATTGGAGAATCACATTGGAGTTCAAGTTGAGAGCTAGCGTTTTCTCAACTTGAGAAACAGCCCCATTTTCATGCAAAGAAAAACGCCTTTTTTATTGAGAACGCTATGATCCTCCACTTGAGGTACTGTTGAGAAACAACGCTGAAGATTTGAGAAATACCTTAGTTCTCAACTTAACCTCAAGTTGAGCTCAAACCTAAATGTTTGTGGGTATGTACCAGAGTCCTGCACTGAATGAGTAAAACACATCGTTGAGCTGCTTGCTAGAAACTAAGTGTGAATCAAGCGCAATAATCACGGAGAGTAAGCAAGTGTGAATGGCGGTCACTTATTATTATGAAGAAGAGAGCGCCGGCTTGTGAGCTAGTGAGCTTGTGTTGAGCAAGTACACGATTGAGATTGCGCCAGTCGCAGTACCGCTAATCCGCTCTTTGTGATTTTGACAGAATCAGCTGTGTGAGTGACGTCATCTTGGTGCAATTGTTGATTGTGAGCATACGAAAAAACCAAATAACAATTTTAATATATGTGCGTTAATATTTCTGCGGGGTTTTAAACAATTATTGAGACATTACAAAGCAAAATGAAGTGTGCCGTGGCAAAGTGTAATAGTGAAAACAAAAGGAAGCGTGCGATATAAGTTTTTTATCGTTTCCTACGGATGCACATCTGGCGAAAAAGTAAAAGCAGTTCTGCCGGCGAGGAGATGCATTAAACACCAAATCGAGCTACATATGTGTGCATGAAGCACTTTACTAGTGATTATATTGAAAATAATATTTGTAGTGCTGTTATGAGGTAATGCACTAGTGGATAAGGTCGCCAAGTGCTAGTTCAAGCGGCAGCTTACCGCGCTGTTACGTACCTAATACAAAACGGTGCCCAAATAATTCTACATTTAAAAGTTCAGCTTAAATTATGTTTTACTTACATAGAGTATTTGTTTCCAAAGAAGCCTTACTCATGCATCCTCTCGGAAATGGTACAAAAGTCATCAAATAAAAGCCAACAGATGTGGAGTTTATGGTGGTTGGCTACCGTCCACAAATATAAATATGCACTCTGCATGACTTTTTACAATGGCGAGTCCAAAAATTCACTTTGCCGCACACCTTCCTTTTGGTCTACATGAAATTGCAAACACAGTTAATACATCCATTTTTCCATGTGCTAAAAATCGTACATACCTAAAGGGCTACATGTCCAAAATTATTGCTGGGTGTTCCTTATTAATCAATCTTTGTATATTTCTTGATTCCTGCAAAATTGGGCCATGTAATATTAAAATTAACAAATTTTTCTGCATTGTTTACATATTTTTATATGCGTTTTGGCATTTTTCTCTCGCAATTGCACCAAGATGACGTCACGCAAAAATTACGCTCAAAAATCCTCTCTCATTGGTGCAATCTTGTATTTTATCATTCTTGGAGCAAGTATTCACAAGTGTTTGGTTTATGAGCTCCAATTCATATTGCTCACTGGCTTCGTTTCGCTTACAATACTTACGCCATTTGAGCAATTGCGCTGTGAAGCAAACGCTAGAAAAGAAAGTTGTATGGAAATTAAGTTCAAGCAACTATTTTTTTAGCAAATAAGAGTTTAAAAATTACTTGATTATAAAGCCCTAGGTATAAATCTGAAACATTTTTAATACAAATGAATTATCTTTTTCAAATTTAAACTCTTTGACCTAAGTGGGCAGCACGAATGTAAAATCAGGTACTACTTATTCGTATCTTAGTTTTTCTGCTAATTATGTATGTATGCATGTATTTAGGACAGTTTTACTTTCTAATTTTGTAATTATAGCTTTTATTTTTCAACTTAAATTATGGCGGGAGTAACAAATTGAGCATCGGTATAAAAAGTAATCGTAATATATTTACTATTCTATGAATAAATATTTTTACCTAGAACTTATAGCCATATTCATACAAGATAAAGTAGCTTTAAAAATTTCTATCTATATCAATCTATAAAGCTGTTTAAACCATTTTAAAAATGAAGGTAGTTTCAATAAACAACCCTGGATACTGGGGGTTTCGAAGCTTCATAATTTGTTCATGTTGCAAATTTGTTAATATTTAAAAATAAATTAGCAAATTTCGAGTTGGGGATTTTTTCCATAGTTATTAAGTGTTAATATTTTAGTCTTCTTAGATGAAACCAAACAAGTCTAGTACATGATATACATATGTATTGAAAATATGTACATAAAAAGAATGCAATTTAACTTCGAAATAAAATGGATAATGGCATCCTACTTAAGTGTATGGTATTTCTCACCCCAACCCTAAACTGGAAATTAATCTATGTGTATGTGTGGTGCGTTAACTTTATTAAAAGATTTTATTTAATAAATTCAACAAACCCATCAAGGTGTAATTTTTTCTGGTCTTCTTATTTTCATATTAGTTTTCTTATCTTTTAACTTCAGATTTAAATGTCGAATTCACAAAACAAAGCGCTGGGAATTTAGAAAAACACTTGTACCGTCTTCCTGGAAGTGGTATTTTGTATTTTTGCAGCTTCCAAATGCGCAACTCATTTTTCTTTTTATTATTTTACAAAATTATTTTGTTTTTTGCTATGTCTAGTTTATTTCAGAAAAAATTATATTATAATTTTCAGTCTGGTAGCTAGATTTTGATGAAAATTACAAAATTCCTGCAAAAGTCAAATGGTTAACATGACTGCTTATATCATTAATTGAAACTACCTTCTTTTTTCTACAATGCTTTAAGCCTACTTTATTTTTTAAGAATAAGGCCATTAACAAAATCGAAAAATTCAAATAAAATGACGTTCAAAAAATTAAAACGAAATTTTCTTCTATCAAAATTTCTTAAATTACCTCTCAAGAATTATATGCTCGTTTAGTAAGAAAATTTACAGTAACGGTCAAGTATGTAGGTACTTTTTCAAGCAGCAGAAATAATGAAAAATATTTATCTTGATTTTTATTGACTGCAATATTGTAAGTACAGAGTAAAAAAAACTTCTATTATATTATATAACAAGGATTTTGTGGCTAAACAACACAGACCACATGTAATGAAATAAAGATTTTTTTTCGCTCATTTTTATTTATCTACATACATAAATATTATTCTAAAACAAGGCGCTTATTCCCAGCGATCTACTATTATACATCAAATTAAAGTGCTCGATCTGAAACTTTGCACAAACTTTTCAAATTTAGGATTCATTGAACCACTTTCTAAACATTTGCGTCGAAAGCTTTTACAATTTTTACATTGAGCAAAGCATTGCTACGTTCATTTCGATAGGCAGCGTCTCGGCGGGACATAAGAGAATGAATAAAATAATGTAAAAAAAATATTTTTTTAAAAACAAGCTTTTATTTAACATGTACAACCAAAGGAATAAACAAAGTAGTGTAACAAAATATTTTTTAGCAAGAAAATATTGTCAAAACTGCACTAAAATGAATAAAATAAAATAAGTTAAGGTCTCGTTAAAGTTACTAAAAGCCATTTAGTGAAAGGAGTTATTCAAACTCTAATGAAAATTACTAACAANTTTCATTTTATGTACAAAATTTTGCAATAGATATTAAAATAATTCAACTTGCAATGAAAGAGAACAGAAGACTTGGCAAGCAAAATGTTGTTTGCTTACGTTTTGTATGAACATACATGTGTACATATAGCAGCAGTTAATTTTATTAAAAGAAATGGCGTGTCGTCCATTTCTGTTGTAGCATGGCATATATTTAGGCGCAATATTTAACTTCTTCTGTCGGGGCGACATCTGGAGTCGTCTAATTCTTACAACGAGGTTCATATCTTGACTAGATTGATATCTAGAATTTGCCACAAATAGCTTTGCTACACTACGCCGGCAGCTTTAACAATTTTATAGTGGTTTTACGTTCTTTGGCAAATTACGCTCTGTTAGCCATAAATCTTACTATTTTTTGACCGCCTTTGAATCAAGACCCCTGGACCATATAGGGAATCCATTTGTAATTCAAATTGCATTGTCATCGTGATTGGAACTATGCTGAAAATTTCAAGTCTCTAACTTGTCGGGAAGTTAGTTTAAAATCGATTGGAAATTTCCGCGACTTCCGCGGGATGACAAAGTTAAATAAAAGCTTATACAAATAGTTCCATTTATTCGCTTTCGTCGCTGTTTTTGTTTCATATCGAGCAATGCATTGCTACGTTCGTGCGAATTAGGTAGCGATACAGCGGTAGAACTGCAAAACAAAAATGTTGCTTTTGTCTCTGTACAGTGTAAATTTATTTTAAATTTTGTATATTTTTAAAAAGCTGGAAAACTTAAAAAAGAAAACCTGGCAGAAGAACTGAGAGAACGGTAAAGTATTTTAAACTCCCCATATATATGCGTTTCATAGAATCTGATTATCTCAGTTTTCTCTTGCGGGTTAGAGAACTCTCGCCGGACTCAAAAATTAAGGTAAGATTTTTGTACTGAAAATTTGTAGTTAACTAGCGATTCTGAGTAATTAATCAAAACCATTTGAAGGATCGATTAATTTCGGGTTCAAAAAATAAGCACTGTACAATAGTTAAAAAAGATATGGTTAATATGTTGTACGTAAAAGAAAATGTTTACCATGGCCTCGATATCTACTGTCGTTTCTGAATATCCACAGGAGAATGTAGGAGTAGGAGAGTTGCACCTCATGACTTGATACTAGAAGTCGAAGCAGTTGTGATATTAGCCCGCAACATAATGGCCTTATTGATAAAAAATAAAGTAGCTTTATAAATCTTTTTAAACCTACTTTATTTTTTATGAATAAGGCCATAAATATATACATATCAAGGGTTAGTTGATGGTCTCGCCTAATAGTTAAAGAACTACAATATAATTGCTTGGATGCCGCAATACAAATATGTATGTAAATATAAAAGGTTAGTTAATGGACATGTGATTCACAATGACAATGCATTTTACTACCCCATATAAATTTACAGCCCAGCGACCCAAACATTTCCCTATGTATTTAAACGCCGCCAATTCAAAATTAATGCAGCGTTCGTAATAACAATAAATATGTAAGGTCAGACCCTAACAAGGGGATTGCATTACGCATGGCCAGCTATGTATACGTACTGAGTAGAGGATGATCTTGCCAAAATACCAAAGTTGAAGTTAAATACCAATGCATGTGGTTTTTAGAATAAAGAAATATGCAAATTATTTTTTTTTTTGAATTTCGGGGATTATTACTAGATTAATTTAGTATAAAAAACAAACAATTTTTAATGGCACACAAATATAGACGAAATATAATAAAGCTCAAAGTTAGTACATTTGTTTAGTGAAATTAATGTAATTAAAACATAACTTAAAAATACGTTGGGAATCTCTAGAAATACAATTATTTACATTTTTGGGAAAAATTAAAAAAAAAACTTGTGTAAAAAGGTCACTTTTTAAATAAATCACACTTTATTCCAGGAATATAGTCCTGTAATAGATTATTATATATTATAAAACTAGGTTTCAGTCTTTTGAAATGGCTAACAAGTATAATTAATTGGAATAAAATCATAGTTCCATGATATAAAAAAACACTTTTTTATTTTTTTGAAATAAAATAAATAAATAAAAATGTTCGAACATAAAAACTACTATTAAAAACAGTTGAAAAAATGCGAGAAAAATGTTTGCAGAAGGATATATTCTACCGAAAGTTACAAGAAAAAACTTTTTCACAAAGACTTTATTTTAAACGAAACGAGCCAAATTTTGTCTCAAGTTAATAGTCTTAGCCGGAGGTATCTATGCGGTTAGAGCTCGATATAGTCATGTTAAAACAATTAGGACACGACATTTTGACCAGTGTTTAGGCCAACGGCCTAAATTTGTCGCAGCATTTTCGACCCACCCTAATGCTTAACATAACTTCATTATTATGTCAACTGTCGAACTGTTTACCACTATGTTACTTATGCTAAAATGTCCCTTCGCTAAATATACAGTTCGACAGGCAACAGTAAGAAGAAATTTCAACCGGTCACTTACTTGTTTTCCGAGAGTGAAGTCAAGAGGACGTGTTCCAGCCACCGTGTTCCCGTATCAATAAAAGGTAACCTGTACAACCAACATATATGCATATATATTAATACCAATTTATCTATTTTTGAATAAACACCAATTTATATTAAATATTAATACAAACGTTTTGCTTTGTTTTTCATTCCAATAAATTAAATCGGCCACAACTTTGTCCAAGCGTTGTGCCGGTTTAACATACTGGTCCTTCAACGCCGTAACATTTTCCACTTGCCAGCGCCCAGCTTTTTGAGCCAATCCGAGGATTTCCAATTTGAGCCTATCTGAAGCAGCCGTACATTGCAGCAGCAGCTACAAAATTTTTGCACAAAGCAACCAAAGGAGCTTCCAGCATCAACAGCAAAAACACACACACGAACACCGACACCTGTTAAATAAATAAAGTCATCAATTTTTTAAATTAAAGGTACGTGGGTCAAATTTCACTGCACTTAGATTATCTTGTGTAGCATTTATTTAGTTAATAATCAAGAATTCGCGAGTGATTTTGTGAAAATTTAAAGTTTTAATTGCAACCGAAGTGCTAAGTAACACACACACACGCACATATATATGTACATACATTTGTGGGCGCTAAAGCCATTTAAACATTAAACAAGTGTGATCGGGCATAAAAAAAAGGCAGTGTTTTGTTTTGCTTTGGAATTATCGCGAAACAATTTGCAAGAAGTTTCTTTACGGTGATTAATTCAAATAGTTTAATTTTTGTTAATCATATTTTCCTTGGTGACTTGCATTTTAGTACCGAAATTTACCAACAACAACACTGCACTTGTATTCGGTTTACATAACCAAACTTTTCACTGCACCGAACTTTGGTACTTGCAATATTTCCTTTTCACAAAATCACTTTCGCGTTTGCATTTAATTTATTAAAAACCAATACAAATTTTGGCACTATTTCTAATTAGTCAAGTGGTGTGTTTTTCCATATTCATTATTTATTTGCACTTGGCATATAACGCGCTTGTACATAAGAATATATACACATACATACATATACAGATCTCACTGGTTTGGTTGGCGAGCAATTTCTTGTGAACAAACAAACATACATACATACGTATACTTAAAACGCATTTATATTGCTAAATCGGTGTTAATAAACATAGAAAGTTCACAGATACAATTTAAAGGAAAAATAGAGAATTTTTATTACTTTGTGGTTGAATTGGTGGTATTTTGGTGGTGCATTCTGCTTATATACATTGGGTATATAGTTTTGGGTTACCTTGACATAGGATTTTCTTCGTGTGCTACCTTTACGGTTGGAAAATCGGCTTCTTTTGAGTCAGTCTCTCATAGTGATACTTCCAAAAATTTCTTGTGAAGTTGTTATTTCGCAAATAAGTGAAAAAATTAAATAAAATGGAAACATACACCCGGTTAGCAGATTCGGTCATTGAATTTGATACAGAATTTCTGAGCACTCCCACAGGTGAGCACACCAAACATTCGCTGAAAATTCAGCAAAGCGAGCTTAGTGTACTGTGGGAGAAAGCCAAAGCACTCTTTGACGAAGTTCTGACTACCGAATCAACTAGTGCTAAAGATGTTAGCGCTATAAGAAAGAAAAATAAGATCTGCTATGCAGCTTTTGTCCGGTGTATGACAAAAATTAACGAATATTCCGAAAAGTTGGAAAAATCAGAAAAGGAAAGTGAAGAGATGTCACTCGCTTCGCATAGTTTGCATCTTCCACCTTGCGATATTGACGTTTTTAAAGGTGACTATTTGTCGTGGCCAACTTTTCGTGACATGTTCACGGCAATTTATATCTTGAACAAACGGCTTACACCCATACAGAAGCTTTATTATCTGAATCAAAAAACGCAGGGTGAAGCCAAAGAAATTGTCAAGAAATGCGACTTAACGAATGAAGGCTTTAACACAGCCTGGAAGAATCTTTGCGATAGATACGAAAATAAGAGGATCCTAGTTAACACTCAGTTGAAGATTCTCTTCAACTTGAATACAGTTGATAGCGAATGTGGAAGCTCAATAAAGAGATTACAAAGGGATATTAATAATTGTATATCATCCCTAGAGAGTCACCAGATTGACATTTCAAACTGGGACCCTATTATTACGTATCTGTGTTCTACTAAACTACCTGAGGAAACCCTTTCGCTGTGGGAACAATCGGTAGAAAATAAAACAGAAATATCCAAGTGGTCAGATATGGACCGATTCCTTTCAAGCAGGTTTCAAACGTTAGAATCGGTTTCAGGTTTAAGAGGAATCAAGACTTCGAAGTTTTCAAAAGTGCCAAGTCATAAGCATTCCTCTGAACCCTCTCACAAGAAACTTGGCGTTTTTCAAACTAGTGTCGCCAAATACATGTGCAAAATGTGCCAAAGCAACGAGCATAGAATTCATATGTGCCCAAAATTTCTGAAGATGTCTGTAGCTGATAGAATCTCCTTTGTAAAAACGAACAATAGCTGTTTTAACTGTCTGTCTTTCGGACATTCGGTGTCGAAATGCACGAGTTCTTACAACTGCGCCAATTGCCATTCTCGACACCATACGCTCCTACACAATCAGACAGCACCGCCTAAAACAGCTACCAGGGAAAATACTTCTAATCCTGCGGACAATTTACCATCGACTTCCAGACAGGCACAATTGAGGAATCAAGCTTCAAAGGGGAAAAGTAACCAAGTAAAAAAGGTGCAATCACATCACGCTAATACTAGCAAAGGTGTTTTACTCGGCACTGCTCGGGTTACTATTCATTATAATGGCACCAATTATGCTGCTAGAGCTCTAATTGATTCTGGCTCTGAGTGTTCCTTCATTACGGAGAGGCTCAGACGCAGAATCAACTTGCCCACAAAGAAAATGCATGCTCAAGTTTCGGGCATCAATAATACGGTTTCTGCACAGGTAAAAGAAGCGTGTTCTATACAGTTGCGGTCACCGATTGACCCATTCATTTCAATTGATGCTATTGTGTTAGTGCTACCAACTCTTACCGGGAATTTGCCAACTTGCGACATTAGCGCACTAACACAACAAGCTTTTCCTGATCTCATCCTGGCAGATAAAAGGTTTTATGTAAATGAGCAAGTCGATCTTGTCTTGGGAGGGGACATATATCCCCATATAATTTTGAGTGGCATTAAGAAGAATGTTCTTAGTACTCTTCTGGCACAAGAAACAGTGTTCGGTTGGATACTGACTGGTCGTGCTGATGCAGTCAACCCAACCAACAATAATAGAGTATCGTTCTTCAATGAAGTGGCCCTAGACAAACAGCTAAGCTCTTTTTGGGAACTTGAGGATCTTCCACGAGATAAAACTGCAACAGCTGAGGAAGCAAAGTGCGAGGAGCTTTACAAGCGTACAACACAGCGGAATCCAGATGGGAGGTACATCGTGTCGCTTCCTTTCAAGGCGGAGTTCCCGGCTGATATAAACTTAGGGCCATCACTCAAAATCGCGTTTTCTCAATTTTACAAGAACGAAACTCGACTTAGAAAAAATCCAGACTTACAGAGGGAATATAACAAAGTCATAATGGAATACGAGACAATGGGCCATATGTCTAAAGTTAATGCAATTCAGTCAGCAGATGCAGTCGACAGTTACTATTTACCACATCACGCTGTGGTAAAAGAAGAGAGTACTACGACAAAGGTTCGGGTGGTTTTCAATGCTTCGTCGTCTTCAGCCAATGGTGTCAGCCTGAACGATATTCTTCTTCCAGGGCCAGTGCTTCAGTCTGATTTACCAGTGTTGATTCTCCGCTGGAGACTTTTTAGATACGTCTTCAATAGCGATATTGAGAAGATGTATAGGCAAATTCTTGTAGACGCCAACCAAACGAAGTACCAACGAATAATTTTCCGTACGTGTCCAAACGAACCAATTAGTATTTACGAACTAAAGACGGTTACTTTCGGTATAAATTGTGCTCCTTATCTCGCGATAAGGACATTGCTCCAGCTAGCTGATGACTCAGAAAGCCTCTATCCTATAGCCTCGAACATTTTACGAAAAAGTATGTATGTCGACGACGTTCTTGCCGGAGGACATACTATTGACTCCGCGATAAAAGCCAGGGATGAGATTTCCGCAGTTTTAAAATCAGCTGGTTTTCCACTTAGAAAATGGACGTCGAATTGCAATAAAATATTGCAAGGCATACCAAAAGCACATCTGCTGAGTGAAAATTTCTTAGAGTTTGAGGACACAAGCAGTGTAAAAGCCCTAGGTATAAGGTGGAACGCGCATTCCGACCAATTTTATTTTATAGCCAAGCCAATAGAAGATAACGTCAATCCAACGAAGAGAGCGATATTATCAGCCATCGCTAAACTCTTTGACCCGTTAGGTTGGCTAGCTCCAATGATAATTGTCGCGAAAATACTTATGCAGAGCATATGGTTAGAGGGTACAGACTGGGACGAGACGGTGTCCCCAACAACACTAGATAGATGGCAGAATTTCACGAGAAACTATCAGGAAATCAATAATATAAGGATACCACGTTGGGTATCTTTCTCACCAACGGAAAAGGTAGAGATTCACGGATTCTGCGACGCATCCGAAAAAGCGTACGCTGCCGCAGTCTACTTACGCGTGGAAAAAGAGGATAAAGTACTTGTAAATCTGCTATTAGCAAAAACTAGAGTAGCGCCAGTCAAAACAATTTCTTTGCCTAGATTAGAACTTTGCGGGGCGGTATTACTGTCAGAAATAGTCGAATCAATCACCAAAAATCTTGAATTAGGCCACCTAAACATACATCTGTGGACTGATTCGACGATTGTTCTGGCGTGGATACGCAAGCCCCCATGTTCGTGGTCAACCTTCGTTGCCCACCGAATTACAAAAATCTTAGACAAAGTAGGGAACTTGAACTGGCTTCACGTCGATTCAGCTACGAATCCCGCAGATTTAGCAAGCAGAGGCATACTGGCGAACGAATTGGTCAAAAATTCTTTGTGGTGGCAGGGACCTTCTTGGCTACAAGAAAATAGGGAAAAATGGCCAATCCAAGAGACAGACTTCACCACGAGCATTGAGGAAAAAAGGGTGCACGTTCATGCAACAACATCGACAGACAAAATCAATGACATTCTTGACCGGTTTTCTAGTTTACCGAGGGCTTTGAGGGTGATATCTTATATATTGCGTTTCTTTCAAAGAACCCATCCGAAGACAAAAGCTTCTTTTCAGTCGGAATCTTGCTTAATTTCATCTAATGAAATTAAATCAACGACTACTCGCCTGATTAAACTTGCTCAGAAGCAACATTACGGAGCAGAAATCGCGAAACTGAAAACTAAAGAATGCATTGAGTCTAAGAGTGAAATACTTCCTCTTAATCCATTTCTGGATAAAGATGATGTGCTGCGGACGGGGGGTCGTCTTGGCACATCTCTGGATCTAGCGTACAACGAACGGCATCCCGTTATACTCCCATACAATTGTAGATTATCCCGTCTGATTGTCCAATTCATCCATGAAACTTCTCTCCATGGTGAGAATCAACTAATGTTGCGTCTCATACGAACGCAGTATTGGATTCCGAAGGTGAAAACGATGATAAGGTCCACAATCCATAACTGCAAGATCTGCACTATCTATAAAAAACGCGCGCAAGGCCAACTTATGGGGATTCTTCCACAAGAGCGAACAACTTTTTCGCGACCATTTACCAATGCTGGGGTGGATTTTGCTGGACCATTCGACATTAAGAGTTATCGTGGACGAGGCTGCCGAATGTCAAAGGGTTATGTGTGTCTATTTGTCTGCTTTTCTACCAAGGCCATTCATTTAGAGGCCACAAGCGACCTAAGTACTCAATCGTTTTTAGCAGCATTTTCCAGATTCGTTTCCAGACGAGGGTGTCCAAAAAATGTGTACTCAGATAATGGGACAAATTTCGTAGGAGCATCACGGGCTTTAAAAGCGGAACTAAAGGCATTTCTATCCGACGCGCGGACGAATACGTTATGCCCATCAGGCATTGACTTGGCATTTCATACCTGCCGCAGCTCCGCACATGGGTGGTCTGTGGGAGGCAGGTGCCTTACCGAACTACAGAAACGAATAAAGTGGAAACATCCTAAATCCAACATAAAAGTGGGAGACATGGTGGTCATAAGAGAGGATAATCTTCCACCTAACGAATGGAGATTAGGAAGGGTGGCTAATTTGCACCCAGGTTCTGACAATCGAGTTCGTGTTGTAGAGGTCATAACTGAAAAGGGTAGAGTGACAAGACCGCTTGTCAAACTAGTACTACTACCACCCTATATCACGGATAACGATGAAACTATGGCGTCTGTATAAATCCATACGAAAAACAACCCTTCCACCTACCACAAGCAAAACTCGAATAAAAACCAATGGCTCTCAAAATGGAATCCGNTATTAGCACAGAACACCATCTTTGGATGGGTCCTGTCGGGCGCTTGTTGAACTTTTTTTTTCTTCGCATACTTTTACNTTAACGTTTTCGTATGCGAAAACAACTTGCCAATGAGAAGAATCGCTATTTGTACATATTGCTATTTCAAAGACGTAAACAACATGAAATTAGAACCAATTCTAGCTATCCCGAATGAGAAGTAACGTTCTTAATGTTTAAATTTCATTAATTTTTTCCATCTACATATGTAAATTTATTTAACAAAATCACATTACACCAGTCACCATGGAACGGCCCGCGAGCAGAGTAGGCTGGTTTACATTAATAATACAATAGGAGAACAAAGAAACATTTTAATTGTAAAGCACTTACCCCCTTTTTCCTTTCGTCTCGGCCGATCTTTTTTCTTTGGTCGTATGGTGGCTGGTTCTGCTTCAAAGAATTCACCTTCCACTGGGCATTGTGGATAGCGCATATTGCCGGACATCCTGGCTGCATCTGCAACACCATTCCTTCGATGCGTTAATCCAGGTCCTGTGCTGCACCACAAAAAAAACAGCTTTAAGCAGATCCCCGTAGTAATTTCAAACGCATTCACCCGTCATACATATACACGTATTAAATTTCTTTCGATATTTCCAGCTCAACGTATTTGCCGGCGAACGCAATTTATTTCATTTCATTTTAAATTACACACATTAGTAATCTGTAACCCAGTACAGTAGCGCAGCAGCAATGACACAATGATACCAACACACTGTGTCAACACACAAGCATACGCGCCATTGACCATCCCTAAGGCAAAAGTACGGAATGTGCCAAAATTGTGCCGTTCATGCGTTGAGCTGCATTCCGCCTAGAACCGGTGTATGTATGTACATATATACATGCATGTACTGANGCAAAAGTATGGAATGTGCCAAAATTGTGCCGTTCATGCGTTGAGCTGCATTTCATACATACATATGTATGTATGTATGTACATATATACATACATGTACTGAAACTACAACTCTAAGGCAAAAGTATGGAATGTGCAAAAAATGTGCCGTTCAGGCGTTGAGCTGCATTTCAAACATCCATAAGTATGTATGTATGTACATATATGCATACATGTACTGAAACTACGACGGTATAAAGGGGTTGTCATACGTTGTAGTGCAATATTTTTTCGGATAAGCTATCACAGTGGGAAATTTTGTAGTGTCTGCTGAAATTAGGTTTATTTCCAAAACGTTTTTTTTGACAATTATTCCAAATTATTTTTATTATTTCTCACAATTTGCAATCAGTATCATTCGGCAACACTCGGTTAATTTGACAAAACTTGCAGCAGAAGTGAAAATTGCTAGGGAAACACGAGCAAGTTGAAATATATTTTTCGAAATCGATTTGCACTCTTTTCAGTCACACTTCGCAATGTTTATTTCTTCGCATGTAGAAATAAGTTTTATCCTTCCCGTCTGACACACCCTTAACGCGAACAACTAGTACAACATGTACATATGTATGTACATATTTGTATATATAAGGCACTTTTACACAGAACTTTACGTGAATTAAATATCGCACCGGTACTTCGGTACATATGTTTCTCAATACCTATGTATGTACATATGTTTTATTACGCACGTTTTTCTTTGGGTTCGAATTAACTTTAATTTACGCATTTTTATTTAACAATAATTTTCCGCCTTTATTCCTTCATTGAGGCACTGTTTTTTGTTTTCGCATATTTGTTTTGGTTGTATGTACATTCGCACTACTTACACATTTAATTACCTGGAGTTACCAATTTATTTTCACGAAGTAAAGCTGCTTCAAACACCAACGGGTTGTTTTTATTTTGCTACACTCGCGCCGCTTTTTTATGGTTTTTGCCAATCCACAAGCACAAATATTTTACCGGCACCGCACAACCGCACAACCGCACTTGTAGTAAACACAAT